ACGTATGTTAACTCTAAATTTATTTATGTAGAAAAATATATACGAAAACAATTAAAAAATTTATACATTGACATTGTAACACAAAAATGTAATCTGGAACAACAAACGTTAAAAAATTCATTATCTATAGCAATTCAATCACCTGACCAATTCGCGTATGATGTAATGAAAGGACCAGGTTATATGGCTTTAGTTGCTGGTAAAGTAATTCATATCATCAAATGCACACCAGTTGAAGTAAAAATACAACAAGGTATGGTTGGTCCCTACATTTATTGGGAGCAATCTGCAGTTCTATAGCTGATCTTTTAGTTCATTTAAGTACTAAAACAAAAACTGAAGAAGTTACATTAGAAAATGTTACAACTGACATAAATCCAGGAGAACCTGTAGCACCAGAATCATCAACATCAACAGTACAAATTTCTCCAAATACAGAACTACAACAACAAAAAGGATACTTCAACTTAAAATGAGTATTTGATTGTTATGGTTAGTTCACAAGCAACAAAGTTTAACCTCAAAACCCTTCATCCGTATTTAAAAATATTTGTATTTCATTTTGATTGTACTTAGAAATATGATCACTTTTCGTCTTGCATCCTTAAGTAACCATTTTACGATGGGGGTGTAACGTCCTACGATATTTTATTAAATTTTATGTTCTTTTTCCATTTAATTTTTTGTAAATTTTGTATGGAAAACATCTGTTTTATCTAAACTACGTCTCATATTTTTTTTGTGTAAATTGCTTGTCTTTCTTTTAAAACCGATAACGAGACAAAGTACTTTCAGTTGTCTTCACTCGTGGGATGCACTTTGAAATTTGGAAAATTCAATATAGATAAGAATATAGCTATTAAATCTTTTAGAAACTCTAAAGTGCATCCTTCCAGCTGTTGACTGCTGGGGTCTTTTTCATATCTTATCACTTTCCCACGAAAGTCCAAGAGTCTCTACCATCAAATTACATCTGTTAGTCATAAAACTATAAAAAATATTAGGATACAAAGTCTGTTATATTTCTATTTTTCTAAATAATATCTCACACGTTGATTTAGTGAATTTTAAATAATTTTAAATAATTCTTAAAAATATTCTTTTAATTTTTAGTTAAGTTTTAATATTAATGTTTGGAATTTCAAATTAATTTATTATTTATAACTATATATTCAAATTACTAAAAAAATAAAATTAATTAAATCTTAATCAACAATTTAAATTAATATTGAAATTTTAAACAGTATTATGAAAATAATTAATCATTTACACTATAAGTAACAGAAATTTTACATGTTTCTTTTTTTTTTTACTATTCTCATTTAATTACATATAATTAATTTTATTTAACTATCTTTTATATTTATATATATGTATAAAAAAAGGTATGTGTTTGTAATTGAATGTGTAAATTTTTAACATTATGTAATTAAATATTCATAAAAACATGTATGTCATAAATAATTTTAAGAATTTTTGTACTTTTGAAAATTCGTTTAAAAAGTGAATTTTGGCTTCATCTTTTAAAAATAGTGTAAACTATAGTTCCCCACTTTTTCGAAACACCCTAATCTTAAAGATACGCCCACGCAAAGTCATCCCTTGTAAGGCTGGGCCTGAAAGATCCAATGACTTCTTTCTTTTAGATAAGTTTTTCATAAAAAATCCAATCACTGATCTTTTTAACCTCCCACTCTATAAAATTTTCATCTCCAAATTTCCACCCAACTAAAAAATTTAAGTAGGGATAATAATATAAAAACTAAAGATTTGAATCAAAAACTCAGTCAAAATTTCTCATTCAAAATTAGTCAGTCAACATTTCTCAGTCAAAATTAATCAATCTAAATTCTAAAGTCAAATTTCTCAAGTCTAATTTCTTAATTCTTAGTGCAATCAGTCAAATTTCTCAAATATCAGTGCATTTAGTCAAAGTTCAATTAATTCAATTCTTAATCACGAAGCCAAGACCCAAAATTCAAATTTAAACAAATTTTCAACGATCTTCAACATTTATAAATAAAATCTAAAAAAGTAAGTACTTTTATTGCATAATTAATTACTTTTCTCCTCTTATCTATTTTTTTCTTGTCATACTTCTAATTCCGAAGGACGTGGTGCGATTAAGTTGCGCATTTTAGTTCCTTCATTCCTTAAAAGATTTGATCATTATTTTTTTATTAAACACCTTCCGAAAAGATTTTGGTGTATTCAGTGCATCATTATTTTTTCAATCCTTTTAAATTTTCCTTCAAATAAAACGAACCAATTTGAAAGTTTTCCGAGTTGTGGACAATGCGTCTAGACTCAAAAATAAATTAAAATTTATTAACTATGTTGCGTTGCCGGACGTAACAATTACGTTATATAAAGAAATTTTTATTAAGGTTTATTTTTAGGGCAGGTGAATTGGGAAAATTTTTCAACAACAGGTTATAGCACATTCTTTTTTCCAATCATTTTTTCATCCACATAGAATTCAAAAACTTAGTACATATTTTAAAGTATTCGCACCCGTGGACAAAAACTCACCCCCTTTTTAAGGGTTGAAATAAATGAATCCACACTGGGCTCATTTGAAAGAGCACGATTCAGGCTTTGATTTCTAATAATAATGAATTTTTTATCAAGTCAAGATTTTGCTCCAAGAATTTTCCAAAAGTGTCAAAAAAACGCTGTCCTTAAGGGTTTCAACCCCATTTTTCTTAAAAACCCGGCGTTACAGCTTTTTGAACACCGGATTCGTGTTCAGAGCAAAAATTTCCTTTAGAAAAACTTAGTCGCATTTATCAAACAGAAAAAGTTTTTAAATCTGCAGGGTTAGGTCATTTAATGGTGAAAAATGGTTTCATGATCCTTGTGCAGCTTACATGTGTGTTAAAAATTACAGATTTTAAAATGTGTATACCTATCTTTTGTCAACACTCTAAAGCAGAATTTAACACCTCATATTATGAAATAGAGCGCGGAAGTTCGGGGAAGTTTTATTCGCAAGCGTGTACTTAATATAAACAACGAGGAGGTCTTTTATGTTTATTTCATAAACATTTTGCTTACTCATTGTGTGAAGCAAAGAATTTGCTTCCTCGTGGAGGAAGCAATAAATTTCTCTAATTCGATTGATTGATTTAAAACATTTCGAGTTAAAAACTGATTTAGATTAATTAAATTTTTTGAAAAATTAAGAAAATTTTAATTAATTTTGGATGTAACATATACTATATATATATATCGATTCGTTTCAATGCAAGGAATACAATTATTATATTTGTTAACTTGAATTTTAAAAAAACACAAATTTTTTTATCTAAAATATGAATTTTCGATTTTTCAATTTTTATTAATTCTCAAATTTTAAATCAAATCTATACTTTATTTATACCAACCAATTCGTTTCAATGCGGGGAATAAAATTATTTCATATATAAACATGAATTTAAATAAACACAACATTTTTTAGTATAATGTGAATTTTTGATTTTTTAACTTTCAATAATTCTTTCAATTTCGCTCAAATCTATACTTTATATATACCAATCAATTCGTCTTGATGTAAGAAAGACGATTATATTATATATTACTTTAAAATTTTCTATTTAAAAATTTTTTCAATTAAAAAAAAATTTTTGGAAAAAAGGCGATAAAAATATTTTTTTGGGGTATTTCTAAAAATCCTCTCGTCATTTTTGAGAGATTAATGTGATAAATAAGCCTACCAAAGTTTATCCAAATCCATAAAAACTTGTTAAAGATATCGTGTTCACAAAAACGATCCACACACACATACACATACATACATCCGGACAATTGATCAGGATCTCAAATAACATGTTTCTATAGAGAGGAAAATTTTTTTTTACCATGTTTAAAAATTTTATAAACGAAAGGACTACAAAGCTTCCTCCACGGGGAAGCAAAAAGCTTAATTTTTTGATTTAATCACGAATTTATTATTTAAAAAAATTTAATTATGCAGGATAGTCAAAAATTTTCTGTTGTTTATGTTCTAAATAACAAGTAAAAACAGTAACTTTTATGTTTCGGCACATTTTCTCAAACAGATAATTGCAATTAAAAAAATTTATTTTTTTTGAAAGTGACGTTTTTTTGAATCTATATAGCTGCCAAATGTAACAGAATGAATTTATTATCAAATCACTTTGGTAAATGTTAGTTTCACTATCACCGATTACAATGTACTGCTTCTTATTTGAATATTCCAAAATCGACTTTTAGCCAAAAATCGGCGTTCCTGGCCCACTGTGCGCCCTGTACTTTCTATAAATTTTTTTTAATGAGTTAACATTTTAAGCACTTATTACTTTCATATAGGACAACAATTTACCAAAGTATCAAGCCAATCCCAGAACTTTTACTTTTTGGGTTGTGCCTATTGAAGAAGAATCCTTTATGTATATTTTTTGTAAAATTGAAACTTAATAACAATAAATTATAAAAAGGAATAAACATAAATGTAAAACAATTCCCCATAGAATTTATTCGTATAAAATAATATTCAGGCCTTAACAACCTAATTTATGAGTTAAACTTGCTTGTTAGAATTTAATTAATGAAACTAATTAACACAAACCAAATAACCCAATTACTTTCGCACACGGTAACCCCACTGTTACTAAGCAAGCTTTTTGCAAACTTGCAATTTAAACATTTTTAGCAACTTAAATCGTTTTATTTTAATTAATTATTATTCATTTGTTAATATAGGAATCGTTTAAATAAAAAAGTTTGTAATTTTCAGTCTTACAATTTATTTGAAATATGCCATGACACATCAAAATGTATTATATATATAACAGTTCTTAATTCATTTTTTTTTTATAAATAACAGATAAATTAATTTTTAGAAACATTTTTTCCTTCTATGATCGCCTAAAATACATATTCCTAAAACTAATTATGACGAATGTAATAGGCGGAGTTTGAGGAGTTTTAAGAACTTATAATAAGTCAATGTTAGGTAGAAAAAAAAATTCTGAACATAGCATCAGTAACGAGCGTTTATTTTATTCTATTAGAATGAGTTACATTTTTAATATGACATCTTTTTAAAAAGTGACCCCAAAACATGCTTGTTGTCCCCTCGATTTTAAAACTAATACAAAAAATACATTTTCTAGATATTTAAAAAATTTTTAATCAAATTTTTTTAATTAGACAAGAATCTTACATGAATTATGACATTGAATCTACTCCAAACAAATCTAAACGCAACGACTTGAAATACTAATGTATATTTAAAACGTATGTATTATAAATCTTATTATTTTACCAATTTCCCTGTGGGCAAAAAACCATGTTCGTTCTAAAAACGTTCTAAGAACGTCCTTAAAACGTTTTTAGAAAGAACATGGTTTTTTGCCCACAGGATTGAAATTTAATTTAAATGTAAATTAAAATGAACAGAAGTAGATTTGTTCTCGACGAGATTCTGTCCTTTCATAAAAGAAAAAAGATGAAAATATATTACATTCAATTGTTTTTTCGAGAGAATCTCGGTATTTCAAATCTTTCTGTGACGATATCCGCTCGAAGTGCATCACTATTTTAAAATCCTTTTATAGTTTCAAAATCCAGACTATAAAGAGAATCAATATTGGCATATGGATTGGAGTCACGCTTTCATTACGATTACAATAATTATTGTAATAATGAATGATTTAAAACAATTTTTTGTTCTTACTTTTTCTTTAACTTTAATGAACATGCATAAACAGAAATAATTGTGTTTACTGTTTAACATTAAGGGGGCACTTGCAGATAGATATAAATATTTATTTTATATACAAGTACTTTTTATAAGTAAAAACATTCAGTTTTCCGTAAAATACAAAAAATCCTTGGTTAAAATATCGGACTGATTTTAGACTAAATTTATCGGAAATCAGTCTTTCTTAAATCTCAATGACTCCGCCACAAAGAACCGAAGATTTAATAAATATATATTTTCAATGTTCGCAGTATTTAGAACAAAGGTAAATATTTAAATGTCCGCACTTCGGCAAATGTTTAGCGCAAACCTTGAGTGAAGCTTGAAATTAAATATTCGTTAAAGGTTCGGCTCGAAACTTGAGTAAAGCTTTAAATTAAATATGCGTTAAAGGTTCAGCTCGAACCTTGATTGAAGCTTGAAAAAAATATTCGTTAAATGTTCGCCCAGATAGCTGGATTTTAAAATTATCTAATCATAAAGTATTAATTGTATTAATAATAATAATATAATTAAAATAATTATATCTTTAATTTGAATCAGTTTAATGAATAAATTGATTTAAGAAATTTTAGTTTCTAAAAATGATAAAGGGTCATTCCATTTTATTTCGCCTATAGTCGTTGCAGCCTATTTTTAGAAAAATTTGATATTTCGTATTAATGACTTTGAATATCCGTACAATGCATTTTTGACAATTATTTTATGAAATTTTTTTTTATTTACGTTGAAATTAAGTTTTTAAGTTGAGTTGAACGGAAAATAGGTTAGTTTGACAGCTTTGGAAATTTTATAAAAAAGAACAGAAATAATTCAGTTAGTAAATTTTTTTTCATTGAGCTACTTTTTATTTTTATTCACTTTGAAAAATCCACCTTAAAATACAAATTTAAAGGTTAAAAACAAGTAATTTTATAAAACTGAAGTTGGTTTTCTCAATATAGATTTATTTGTATGAATTTTATTTATAAAAATACTTGTTTTTTAACCTTCAAATTCGTATTTTAAGGTGGATTTTTTAAAGTGAATAAAAATAAAAAGTAGCTCGTTCTCCATCACCAAATTTTGATAAGATGAATAAAGAAGATTTAACTTAAATTTTAAAACCAAAATGGGATTTTTTCATTAATCGCCTGCGAAGATATAAGTGTTTAAAATCTGATAAAATCCTGAAAAGTTCAATATTCAAGGTAAAATTTCACATATTTCTATATTATAAAAATAAAAAGCCAACATATCATGTGAAAGCACATGGAAAGTACTTATTGTTAGGTAGTAATGAATTTTATAATATTTATAAACTCTCTTGGAAAATATAAATAAAATGTGACAAATTTTGACATTTTACAGGTAAGTTTGAATATTAATTTTCACGTAGTATTTTGGCTTTTTTACACAATTATCAATTAACATTGGTAAATTAGACTATTTTAAACAAATATCAATGAAAAAAAAATTTAATAACTAAATTATTTCTGTTTTTTTTTATAAAATTTCCAAAGTTGTCAAACTAACCTATTTTCCGTGCAACTCAACTTAAAAACTTAATTTCAACGTAAATAAAAAAAATTTCATAAAATAATTGTCAAAAATGAATTGTACGGATACTCAAAGTCATTAATACAAAATATCAAATTTTTCTAAAAATAGGCTGCAACGACTATAGGTGAAATAAAATGGAATGACCCAAAAAAAAATAATTTCTTAAATTAGGGACTCATACTTGATTAAGCAATTTTTTAGAGACTTTAAATAACGAAATTAATTTTGAAAATAAATTTGGGGGACCGGGGATCGAATACGGGTTCGACGAACGCAAATGCAATACCTAACCAACCGAGTTATACGAGCAACTATGATTGAAAAAAAAAATCTTGGTCTTAAGCTACAAGTGATTTTATTGGTTGCAGAAAACGGCACGAATTGTTTCGATGGGTAAGATAATTTTTGTTTGGTTATGTACTGTCAAAACAAAAAATCCAGTTTTAAATTATCTCGCCGTTTTCCGCAAACCAATAAAATCACTTGTGGCTTAAGAGCAAGATTTTTTTTCCAATCATAGTTGCTCGTATAACTCGGTTGGTTAGGTATTGCCTTTGCGTTCGTCGAACCCGAGTTCAATCCCCGGTCCCCCAAATTTATTTTCAAAATTAATTTCGTTATTTAAAGTCTCTAAAAAATTTCTTAATCAAGTATGAGTCCCTAAATTTAAGAAATTATTTTTTTTTTCATTTTTAGAAACTAAAATTTCTTAAATCAATTTATTCATTAAACTGATTCAAATTAAAGATATAATTATTTTAATTATATTATTATTATTAATACAATTAATACTTTATGATTAGATAATTTTAAAATCCAGCTATCTGGGCGAACATTTAACGAATATTTTTTTCAAGCTTCAATCAAGGTTCGAGCTGAACCTTTAACGCATATTTAATTTAAAGCTTTACTCAAGTTTCGAGCCGAACCTTTAACGAATATTTAATTTCAAGCTTTACTCAAGGTTTGCGCTAAACATTTGCTGAAGTGCGGACATTTAAATATTTACAGAAGCTTTACTTAACCTTTATTCTGAATACTGCGAACATTGAAAATAAATATTTATTAAATGTTCGGTGCTATGTGGGCGGATATAAATACACGTTTCGTATTAATTGTGGAATTTTAATCAAGGATGGATGATTTATAAATAAATTATTTTATAAGAAACATAAATAAAATGTTCAATACCATCTGAAAAATACAAAAAAAAGTTTTTATTCTGCCTTAACAACCATTTAAAATTTAAAAAGACTTTGGTTTCAGTATTTATCTATAACAATTACATCTATGTATATTTTAAACAAATTAATCCATTTCACGTCAATTCCTTAATATGAGCTGACAATATCTGCTCTAAAAAGTCTCTTTAAAATATCTTAAAAAAATAATAAATAAAATGTCAAATATATCGTACATAACAATAATCAATACTATCCATCTAGGAAGTAAATTTATTTTGCAGAATGAACTATTATTCTCTACATAATATACAAATAAATCTAATTAACAAATCTATTTGATAATAATAAAAACCACTGGCAAGCTGAAATATGAATACACCAAAAAAACAAAACTCTAAGTTTGAAAATATCTTCCTGGCGTATATTTAAAAATATTTCTCATGCATTTTATTCTTAAATTTAAAATATAATACTCTTAAAATAAAAAAGAATTGCTAAATTAAGAACTACTTCTTAATTTAAAAATTCTATCTTATTTTAAGTGTATTTTAATCAAAATTTAAGAATAAAATGCAAGGGAAATATTCTTAAATTTAGAATTACACTTTTTCGGCATATTTTCTATTAATTACATGAACACTTTGCTTTCCCATAGAGATTTTATTATTATTTACAAAATTTTTAAATAATTTTTAAGACCTCGAAGAACCCCACCGAGTAAGAAGTTTCAATCGATTTTATTCATTTGAAAATTATTTTTACCGCCATATTGGATCCGCCATTTTGAATTTTTATAAATTAACATCATATTTGTAATCAACGACCCCAAAAACCCCCGAGTAGCAAGTTTCAAAGAAATCCGAGAAATTTTTTGAAAAAATACACCCTTTTAGATCCGCCATTTAAAATTTTTTTTATATATCCAATTTTTATGTAATTAAAGTCACTGAATCCAAATCAACATTCAGAAGAAGCAAAAATTCAGTTTTAGATATAGAAATTGAGTAAATTCCCATAGAAATCAATTTCTCAAAAATCACACCCCCCCCCCCTTCCCACCATGCCTGTAAAAAGAAAACACGAACTAACTTTTAGTTAGGACTACGTTTTTCTCTGTAGATACACCTTAAGGAAGAAAATCTACCATATGGCAGTCCTGTCAATTGAAATTTTTTTTCTTTTGTATGCCTGTGTTATCGCCCTATAAAAACGGCACTAAACGTGAAAATACGAAAACGTAAACTAAAGCAGCTAGAGATCCTTATCTTAGATAAATTTCCTAAATCCGAAAGATTATGCGAATCCATACAAAAACACGATTGCAAAACGAACAAGGAGGGGGTCCTTTATATTTATTTCAAAAACATTTAGCTTCCTTATTGTGTGAAGCAATGAATTTCTCCAATTCAATTTATTGATTTAAAACATTTCAAGTTGAAAACTGTTTTAAATTTCTTAAATTTTTTGAAAAAATTAAGAAAATTTTAATTAATTTTGGGTGTAACATATACTCTATATATGCAAATCGATTCGTTTCAATGCAAAAAATACAATTATATTATGTATTAACTTGAATCACTCACACATACACACATACACATACATACATCCGAACAATTGAGCAGGATCTCATATAACATGTTTCTATATAGAGGAACATTTTTTTCACCATTTTTGAAAATTTTATAAACGAAAGGACTACAAAGCTTCCTCCACGAGGAAGCAAAAGTAATATAATGACAGGTTCATTACCTCCTGCCGCCGTTAGATAACAGCAGCATGCAGGGCGCACAAAGTGCAGCTGTTATTAGATTTCTTTTCTACTTTTTGTTTTGCAACTATGTTTTTCTATGGATTCGTACAGTCTTTTGGATTTAGGAAATTTATAAGATGAGGATTTTGGCTGATTTTGTTAAAAGTGTTCGTGTTTCGAGAAAAAAGTATTTTAAAATCAATACTATTTCACGTTCAGAGCGATAATTAAAGCTCTCTTCTTGCCAAAGAATGTCAGATACCGTTCGACACTCTTAATGCATAAATATAAAAACGAAACAAGAAAATAACTTCAATGTTAATAAATTTATATGAACCCAAATCTAAAACATCTATTATCTATACGCATATAAGTATACATTAAATAAATTCTGGTTTCTCATAAAACACTATTTTTAAATATTTAAAATTCAATTTTTTTTAAATTGGGCACGTAAGCTGATTTTCAAACCTATTGAGAAATGTTTTTTATTCATCTAAGAACCATAATCAAAAAGAATTTTTAAGTGCCAACTCATTTTTATTTAAACCTCCTTCTGGCGCACCGTTTAATATCTCTTAAAAGAATTATAGATTAGGTATTTTTGAATCAATGATTACGAATCCGCAAACAGATTTGTAAAATTCAAAATGGCGGACCCAATGTAAGTCGGTCAACTTTTTAAAAGTTGGTGTATTATTATGAAACTTAGGATCTTAGAGACCCAAAAACCCTTAATCCTTAAATGAACTATATTATAAAAATTAGATAATTTTTCTCCTCTTTTAACTAAAATTTGTGATTTATTCGAAAAATAAGATAGTAGACTTTAGATTTGCATATCGGGCTCTAAAACTACTGACCATATTTCACTATATTTTCCTTTATTCTGCATTTATTAAGCTTCATTTTTGTTCAAGAAATATTCATTTTCATCCATTTCTTTAAAAGATATTAGGTTATGAACAAAATTTCCCAAAAAGTCGCATTATCAATGAAATATTAGAATCTATGTAAAAGTGAAAAAATTTAATACCACAAAGTGAAAAAATGTCTATAACTCTAATTTGAAAGCATTCATACGCGCGTGAAAACCATCAGTTCTAAAACTGTAGTTTTCGAATGCTTGAAATTAAAAAACAAGTAAAAAAATAGGAAATTTAAATTCACAGTATTATAGTGCTTCCTCAATGAGAAAGCAATCTTTATCATCAATAATACTTTACGTTTACAGGTTCGAATTGAGTGAGTTCATATAAAATAAATATTTATTATTGTACACACTTAAAATTAATATATTATATGTCGTAGGTAGTCAGCACAAATTGGCAGTTAGTAAAGAGCGGTCATTTAGCAAAATGTGTTCTAAAATTCAGTTAGTTACTTCTCTAGACAGTTTGTTTAACTTCATGGCGTTAAAATAGACTATTAAAAGTGACGAACTGACAAAAGCATTATTAATAATTTTTTTACTTACATTTTTTATCATCATCCGAATACTCTATTGCTATGATTTAAAGAAACGATAACAATATTCTTTGAATGAATCAAAGAAAAATTGTAGTAAGTGCTATTTTATTTTGTATTTGATAACAATTATTGAATTTTTTAATGAAATAATATTAAATTAATATTTAGTAAATTCTTCCACAATTATTTAATAAATTATTTTCTACTTTCAAAAAATCGAAAAAATAATTTATTAAATAATATTAAAGATTGAGACTTTGAATATATTTTCTTAGTTTTTTAAAACGCCTTAAATATTAAGCAAAGTGAATAGGTAGTTGTCTGACTGTTGGGACCCATTTTAATATAATATATTACGCTCTTCGGTGAAAGGGTCATTAGTTGAAAAAATATGAATTTTGACTTTTTTACATGAATCAATAGAGTTTGAGTTGCTTTCACATAAAATAGTCAAAAAATGGTTTGTCAATTATTTTTTGTGTTAATATTAATTGAATAATTCAACAACTAATTTAATTGCCCTTCTTTAAAAGTCTTCCCTGTAAAATAACCTTTTTGTAGCTAAGGTTCCTTTCACCGTGGTGGGTCATATTGTGGGAAAATCTCACGAAATTATGACATTTTGTTTTAAAAATAATCAAGAAAAGAAATACTTCTTTCTATGTGTTTCTTAAAATGGCAATTGAGGACTTAGATCCTTTAGGGGAGTCACCACCTTTATTTTGAGTTTTTTAAATTTTAATATTCGCAAGAAGTTATTTTTTTTGCATCATTTGCGTTCTAAAAACATACAGGATGGTAAAAAAAAAATTTTTATTTTTGAACATTGTAGAAATTAAAGTCTTTAAAAAATTAATATTTTAAATATCTAACTTCTTTTAAAATTTCGACTATTTTTCATCGCCAATTTTTTTCCACGCCTTATTTAACGATTCTTAAGAATCATCGTATGGATTTTTAAAAATTTTAATTTTTTCAAAAAGTAAAAATTCTAAAATAGGCAAAAATTAAAATTTTGTTTTTTTAACCATCCTGTATGTTTTCAGGACTCAAATGATGCAAAAAAAAATAGCTTCCTAACATCATTAAAATTTAAAATAAAAGTGGTAACTTTAAATAACTTCTTTAAGATCGACTATACAGGGATAAAAAGAGCAAACTTTCGAATTGAAGTTCAGTTCAGATTGACAATGTAGAGGCTTTTTATGACACAAATGTCTCAGTAAGCAATTTGACCTTAGGTCACGAAATTTTCCCATATGTATTTATTAAATGTCAGCGTTTTGTTAACTTCTGGTTTTTGCTACATACATGTAGGGGAAAAGAAAAATAATATGCTTAGATAAATTCCTCAATATTCAGATAAACACCGTCAAACAGGCCAATACATATGTGGAAAATGCTTATTTTTCTATTTACCTGGACTCAGTCGATTTGCTTTATACCAAGCATTATGCTTAACGCCTTAATTGCGTCTAGAAACTGAAGTAAACATTAAATTTTTCTTTTCTTCCGTTACATATACATATAAATAGACGCGCAGAAAAATTGCGTGGTTTGGGAGGTTATTTGTCTAGACATTGCAAAAAGTGATTGTTACAGTTCTGTCCTACTTATTACTATTTGAGATACAAAAATTCATAATTTAATATTCACATTAGCGTAAAACAAAACTGGACCTTCGTTTATTTTGACCAGAAGCAGCGAAAACGAAAATGTTTGTGTTGGGTTATATCGACTTAATCATTTTGTATTTGCAAATTTTGATATCTTATATCATTACTTTTAACAGATGCGATTATATCGACACAATAAATATCAGTATATTTTATCCACTAACACCTTGCCTGATGATTTTGTGCGACATTTTGCTCGCCATGTCCGTACATTTAACTTGTTAAATTCTTCGCGATATTGTCATTATAATATTACTGTCATTTTCACCGGAGTTTATTTATAAAAAAGAAAAACCAATTCATTAGAACTACCTAGAAATTTGGTTATTTTGAAAGTGTTCATTTTCATTCAAAATAACTTCGGGAATTGACTTTTTTAAATCATTGTTAGAAGGAAATCCGTCTTCTATATACGTAATGGAATGCCTATCAACTTCCGAGCATTCCTTGGTTTGTTGTGCCTCACATAACCAACCTTGATTATTGTCCACTTCTCTTGAAACAACCAAGAATAATTCTTTTTCATTACTGTCTATTTGGTCTTTTAAGTAAGCTAGTAATTCAGAATCCTGTAAATATTAAGAAAAAGTTAATTTCTTGTAAAACTAAAATGTTTGTAAATCTAACTTAAATAATAAACTTTTCAAAAAATGGAACAGTTTCATACAAATATATACGGGTCCTAAGTAACATCGAGTTTAACATTAGATGTATCAGGTAGAAGTTCAAATATATATTTTTATATATTTTTAACATGCATTGCAAAAATCTCCCAGCGGAGGTTTTGTTAACCAGTAACTTATGTAAAGCAATACATAGATATAAAATAATTTATATTCAATCATAAACAGTCCATTAAAATGTCTCTAGTTACTAATAAATTATTAAATTAATAAATAAATTTTCTGAAAGTTTTCTTTGGTAAATTTACACAAAATTTTTATGGTAAACTTAAAAATCTTTTTTCATGCGCAGATATTTTCTATGGAAGTTAGGGCTGCGTAATACTTTTTAATTACATTTCCCTATAGAGAAGGTATAGATGTATAAAAATACATATCTTGAAAAAAAAATTTGTTTTCTTTTAAATTTATAAGAAAAAACTTCTTACAAAATTTATGTATACTTTCTAAAAAAAACTTTCGGAAAATTTAGCTTTATAAATTCCAGCATGTTAACAATGTTAACTTAAACCCTGAGGACATTTAAAACTTCTGGGAAGTTAACGAATTTATGGCCGTTAACTTCCTGCAAACTTCGGTGCTATTTGTACTGTATTTATTTTCAGATTACGATGAATTACTTCATTGAGAACATACCACGGAGCTTGCATAATAATATAATCGTTAATATATTAGATTTGAATCGTTGAATAATATCAATCTTAAAGTTACTAATAATTCCCCACATTTAAATTCCATATACCCACACAGCACAATATCTTGCTGTAAGCTTCCCTTGAGTTTAAACCTAAGATTCGTAAACTTACAGAGCAAACTTGAGGTGAGGTTAAGGTGAGTTGCAAATGTTCGTCATTCGTAAGCTTACAGTGTAAGATTGTAGTCAATTTACTGTAAGCTTCGTGTAGTCTTAATGTAAGCTTTCATGTAAGATTACCGTAATAATAATAATAATAATTTAAGCTTATACTATAAGCTTACACAAAGCTTATAATGATTATTTCGGTTCTCTGATTGAAACAAGTGAATTCGAATTTTTTACTATAAAGAGTAATCTGACAGAGTAGCGTTCCGTTTACCAATCGAAATCAAACATACATTCTACAAGTTCTAATACAAGATCTTGTACAAGAAAATGTTAAAAATTATTGCTCAGCTGTAAAATCCTAAGAAAACAACTGCGCAGTCTTTAAAGTTTTTAATTTTTACCAAACGAAGAGATAAATGAACATGTACAAGAAGATGTACCAAATCTGGTGCAAGAAAATGTACATGAACCTGCACAAGCATATGTACAAGAACATATATATTTTCTTGTATACAAATATTAAATATATTTTCTTGTACAAGATCTTGTACAAGTTCTGATACAAGAACTTGTTCCAAATTCTGGTGCCCAAATTTGTATATTTTCTGCACCAGAACTTATACAACTTAAGCTGCTGAATATGTACATTTTCTTGTACAGGGATTTTCAATAGGGTCTTCTTTCGTTTCGTTAGAAATATCGAAACGAAATCGAAATTCTACATTTTAAACGTCCCTGTTCAAAATTATGTCAATTATATTATGAGGTTTCAGTATTCTCTACCTTGTTTATTCATTGCAAACCTTTATTATAATTTGTCCTTTTATCAATAAAGAAGAGATTAATAAGTTCATGCAAATATTGGAGACGTAAAATTGCAAGTCGACAGTAGTTACCATAAAATGAACTAAAAAAAACGTGTCCTTAGTGGGTGTACAATCTTATTGACATTTGGAGTATTTAAATGTCGAAGAAATATTTTGCAAGTTTGAGGAACATTATTTGTCTTTTTATTAAAAATTTACTTAACATTAAAGACAAGGCATAACTACAGAAGTAAATTTTTTTTAAATCTGTACACCCAGTTCGGCATGTTTGATGTGAACGGTGTAAAACATTAAAGCGCTACCATGCCCGCGTTGATAATTTTCTTTCCCAATACCTTTCCAATGAGTTGAGGAGCATCTAACTTGGAGTCTAAATTGTAGAAAGCACCATGAATTTTTCGAAGTGCAACCCAATGGCGTCGTTTTAATGGCAGTAATACAAATCCCAATTTATATTCCGTTGGAACATTCAATATAAAACCTTGTATGTTTTTAAGACACAAACATGTTGGATCTCTAAAAATAAGAAATAGATAGAATTAAAAATTAATCTAATAATAGTGTCATTCTAGTTTCTTTAAATAATACAAACGTTTTCTTTTTTATTTCTACAATTACGAAATTGGTATTGATTTATTGCACAAAACATTTTTTTAAAAAGTAGAATAAATTTGTGGACCGTTGTCACATGATAATCAAAAATATTTAAATTTTAGATATATTTTATATAGAAATACTATATTTATCGCTGATTAAGATTTTTGAAAATTACGAAATTGAAGAATTCGACTTTATCAGCAAAGTGACATCTATTAGATGTCATTAAAACTCCTTGGTTCAGAGTTAGGTGTTTCATGTGATAATTATATCGATATGATTTGTCGACAAATAATTATCAATTTTTGAATGCACAGTGTACTCGAGCACGCAGCTTATTTTTTCAGATCAAAATTAATTCAAAAATTGATAATTATTTGTCGACAAATCATATCGATATAATTATCACATGAAACACCTAACTCTGAACCAAGGAGTTTTAATGACATCTAATAGATGTCACTTTGCTGATAAAGTCGAATTCTTCAATTTCGTAATATTTAAATTTTTATCAAAGAAATGGATTTTTTAATACAAAAGAGATTTAGATTGAAATCACTTGAGAGGTTACTAAAAATGATAAAATTGTTTAGTTCACTAAATCTAGTGTAGGATTTTTATTTTTCATCCGATTGTGCTCCACTTTCCTATTGAAAATCCCCATATAGGATCCGATAAAATTTACCAGAAAAAAAGATTACAGGTCATTCGCCCGAATCCACCCGCCCGAATGCTGAATACCCGAAATATTTTAACCCGAATACATTTGCCCGAAAACTAATAAATTCGGGCATTACAAAAATAAGTATAATGTATTTTATTAGAGCTTGAAGAAGTCGTTGGAATGCGATCCACTGCTTACGAGGTGCAACTTTAATATTTCTTCCTAAACTCAGTTGTAATATATGTATGCGAACTTGTAATTTTGAATAATTGGAATTATGATTGCACAAAAATTTTGACGTTGAACTGTTATGATACATATACAAATGACATTATTAATATGAACATATTCACGTAAGAATATGTGTTTATTTTTTTGAATATGAATATATTCACGTAAGAATATATGTAATATACTTTTTTCAGGCAAATATTCAAGAATATATTCGGGCAAATGGTTTTCGGATAAATGGATTCGGGCAAATGTATTCGGGTGAATAAATTCGGGCATATGTATATTCGGGGATATGCGCCTTCGGGCGAATGGATTCGGGCGAGTGGACGTAAACCATATGGGATCCTATAAAAATTCCTCTAAAATTCAAGGATTTTATATAGTTTTTTTTCGGTTTACGTCCACATTTGTACAGGAAAGTGAAAAAGGATTTAATGTAGGAAATGACATAGGAGTTATAATATATACTTCCATTTGAAAAATCATGTGAATAAATATGTGATTTCCTCTAAATTTTCTCTCACATTATTTTATGTCAATTTCCCCAATAATAATAATAATAATAATAATAATAATAATAATAATAATAATATTCTTACGTCAAATTGCATATTGTATCCTAGGTGAAATCTTATTTTGCTTATACAGATAAAAAATTCCTTGGAAAAATCCCATGTCGAATCTTATATGAAAACCCGTGTAAACACATGATTTCATATGGATTTAAATAAAAGAAACAATATAGGATTTCATATGGGAATTTTAAGTTGAATACTTTATGCAGACGGCAGTTTTCAAAAATTAAAAATTATTTAATTAAAAATCAAATAATATTACTGCAATTCATCTGCATAAAGTTTTCAACTGAAAATTCCCATATGAAATCCTATATTGTTTCCTTTATTTAAATCCATATGAAATCACCCAAGCAGCACGGTATATTCACTGAATATCCGTTGAATACCACAGTGGAATATTCTCATGATCTTCTGGGAAAATCAAAATGCCCACATCATGGGAATATTCCATAGTGACATTCAGGGTATATTCCAGTGACATTGAGGGAATATTCCTCGGTGACATTCATGGAATATTCCAGTGACATTAAGGGGATATTCAGGTGATATTGTTGAAATATTCCAGTGATATTGAGAGAATATTCCACGGTTACATTGAATTTTTTTTAAAAATGTGTTTTTAATCTTCCTGCTTATTCAAATAACAATTTATAACATATTTCTATTATTTCAACATTTAAAAAAAAATTCAATATAACCGTGAAATATTCCCTTAATATCACTGGAATATTCCTTTAATATTACCCTCAATGTCACTGGAATATACCCTGAATGTCACTGTGGAATATTCCCATGATGCGGACATTTTGATTTTCCTGGAAGATCAAGGGAATATTCCACGGTGGTATTCAAGGAATATTCAGGGGATATACCGTGCTGCTTGGGCATATGTTTACACGGGTTTTCATATGAGATTCGACATGGGATTTTTCCAAGGAATTTTTTATCTGTCTAAGCAAAATAAGATTTTTGTATGTTTTTATACAGGAAATTTATAAGAAATGTACATGGGATATTGACTTGGGGAATTGACATAAGATAATGTGAGAGAAAATTTAGAGGAAATCACATAGGTTATATGCGAGTCGATAGTATTTGAGTTGCTCTTTGATATAGAAATATCAAAAATAATATTTTTCTAATTACTTTTTTTGTAATAAAGCTTTAAACATACACTACCGTCCGAAATTGTGCGAACTCTGCTTTTTCAACAACTATAAAACTGTTCAAATCTTCAAAAATATTAAAACTGAAATTTTTTCCTCTTTATTTTATTAAAGCTAATAAAATTCTGAAAGAAAAGACACCTTGACAAAGAGAATATGTTAATTTTTCAATTAGATATCTAAGAAAAACCCAATTTTCAATGTTTTTACTATTTTTTTTATTTCTCTGTCAAAAATTAATATTTTTAAACGTTCTTAGGCTCATTGAAATCGTATTTTGTTATGCAATTCAAATTATATAAAACAATTCATGTACACATTCTTCCCTAGCGTATGCAAACCGTGAAAGTTGGCTCATAAAATTTCAAAAAATTTAAATTTAATTCTACAATAAAATATAATGTTTAAAAATCAAGTAAATATATCATTCTAAACTTCTCTGATTTATGTAAGTAAATTTGAAATTTATACATTTTACTGATCATTTTTGTCATATAAACATTAATCACAATTTTTTGACATTTTATGAGCCAACTTTCACGGTTTGCATACGCTAGGGAAGAATGTGTACATGAATTGTTTTATATAATTTGAATTGCATAACAAAATACGATTTCAATGAGCCTAAGAACGTTTAAAAATATTAATTTTTGCCAGAGAAATAAAAACAACCCAAGTAGCACGATATATCAACCAGATGTCACGGTGATATCACCGGGGAATGTCACCGTGACATCAGGAAAATGTCAAAATGTCCGCCTTACGGTGATATCACACGGTGACATCGAGGTGATATCATGGTGACATCAAGGTGATATCACAGTCATATCACGGTGATATCATGGTGATATCACCGTGATATCATGTTGATATTTTACAGGGACTTAAAATTTTTAATAATTTAGAAAATAATAATAAATAAAAAAAATAATAAAAATAATAAAAAAAAATAGTAAAAAATAATAATTTTTAAAAAATTTTAAATCCCTGTAAAATATCAACATGATATCACGGTGATATCACCATGATATCACCGTGATATGACTGTGATATCACCTTGATGTCACCATGATATCACCACGATGTCACCGTGTGATATCACCGTAAGGCGGACATTTTGACATTTTCCTGATGTCACGGTGACATTCCCCGGTGATATCACCGTAACATCTGGTTGATATATCGTGCTACTTGGGAAGGAGGGGGTCCTTTATGTTTATTTCATAAACATTATGCTTCCTCTTTTTGTGAAGCAAAAAATTCGCTTCCTCGTGAAGGAAGCAATGAATTTGTCCAATTCAATTGATTGATTTAAAAAATTTCGAGTTAAAAATGTTTTAAATTAATTAAATTTTTTGAAAAATAAAGAAAATTTTAATTAATTTTGAGTGTAACATAAACTTTATATATACGAATCGATTCGTTTTAATGCAAGGAATACAATTATTTTATTCATCAACTTGAATTTTAAAAAAACACAAAATTTTTTAGCTAAAATATGAATTTTCGATTTTTCAATTTTTATTAATTCTCAAATTTTAAATCAAATCTATACTTTATATATACCAACCAATTCGTTTCAATGCAGGGAATAAAATTATTTCATATATAAACATGAATTTAAATAAACACATCATTTTTTAGCTAAAATGAGAATTTTTGATTTTTTAACTTTCATTAATTCTTTAAATTTCAATCAAATCTATACTTTATATATATCAATCGATTCATCTTGACATAAAGAAGACGATTATATTATATATTACCTTAAATTTTTCGATTTAAAAATTTTTTCAATTAAAAAAAAATTTTTGGAAAAAAGACGATAAAATTTTTTTTTTGGGGTATTTTTAAAAATCCTCTCGTCATTTTTGAGAGATTAATGTGTTAAATAAGCCTACCAAATTTTACCCAAATCCATTAAAACCTGTTAAAGATATCGTGTTCACAAAAACTATCCACACACACATACACACACACACACACACACACATACACACACACATACATACATCCGGACAATTGATCAGGATCTCATATAACATGTTTCTATATAGAGGAAAATTTGTTTTCACCATTTTTAAAAAGTTTATAAACGAAAGGACTACATAGCTTCCTCCACGAGGAAGCAAAAATAGTAAAAACATTGAAAATTGGGTTTTTCTTAGATATCTAATTGAAAAATTAACATATTCTCTTTGTCAAGGTGTCATTTCTTTCAGAATTTTATTAACTTTAATAAAATAAAGAGGAAAAAATTTTAGTTTTAATATTTTT